GGCCGGGGGGGGGCCCCCGGCGGCTGGGGGGGGGTGGGGGGGGGTGAGCCCCAAGCTTCCCAGCCGGTAGCGCAGGTTGATGTGACCGGGGAGCGGCCACTTATCTGCAGCTCTGTGGTAAATGTGGGGGGCTTGTGTTGACTTTCTCCGATGCAGTCCCCTAGCCTGGGCTTGCCCGTGTCCCAAGGGGGCTAAGGGTCTCCTCTGCCTGCTCAGAAACAGCTCCGTGCTGCAGGAACTGGGGACGTGCTCTGGCTTTCGAGCTCTGCACAGACCTCGCGTCTTGCAGCCTGGTTACTCCAGAGCAGCTCTCTTCTCCAAACCCACCGCAGCTTGTGCTGACCCACGAGCCAAGCTGGACTCGGGGAAGCTCGTGTGTTTTGAGCTCAACATGCGCCGAGCCTCCCTGAGCCAGCAAGAAGAGTTCAGGGGAGACGTCCCAGCACTCGGAGGCGGCGCTGAGCTGTTTTGCTCAGCCCTTTCCAAAAAATGCCTCCGGGCGCTGAGTTGCACAGTGGAAAATCCCACGGAGGTGGAGGAAGGCGTGAGTCAGCCGGCTGCTCCCTAACCCGCGGCGCACAAAACCCTGCCGACGCACAGCCCGGCTTTGGAGAAGCTTTTATTGGAAGCCCCGCGGTGATGCTGGGGTGGGGTGGGGGTCACTTCTTGCGGGGCTGCTTGGAGGGGCTGTCCTTGAAGAACTCATTGAAGGCCATGGTGATGCAGGCCAGGAAGCAGATGTACTCCTTAAAGTCCACCTCGCTGTCCTTGTCGTGGTCCAGGTCGTTCGTGAGCCTCTTGAACTCCGCTTCGTCCATTTGTTTCTGCAAGAGGGGACAGCGTGGTGGGGGTCAGCGGTTTTGGGGCGCGCGGAGGAGCGAGGTGCTTCCCCATCCAGACCTGCTGCTTGCGAGGAAGGATGTAAAAAGCCTGGGGGCCCATTTCCCTGCCTTGAAGGAGGGGTTCCTCTTTGCTTTTTGAAGCAGGTAGCCCACAGCAAATAGACCTCGCAGTCACGAAAAAGCTTGGCTAAAAAAATTTCTCCTCCCAATTTAAACCACAAGCCAGAAGGGGAAGTGAGGGTTAAAAAAGGGTTAAAAAGTTGAAATCGGAGCAGGACTTTCTTTGCCAGTCAAAATATTTCTGTGGGTGTAAGAAAGCCAAGTTTCCTTTCGGTCTGAGCATGCTCCAGCTCTCTGGTCCTCCTGCCCTTGTCCCTCCTCCTCCCCAGAGCTTGCCCTGGAGCAGGAGGTCTCAGCGCGTCGCCCACGGGCCGCATCCGTCGTGCGTGCTTTGGGGAAACTCGGAGACCACCTTGGCTCACCCCGGTTTCCGCTGTGCCGCGTGGAAAGACGCGAGGCTGGTTTGCTCCCGCTCGTGCCGGGGCACCTCTGAAGGACGCAAAGGGACGGGCCCCCACTTACGCTCCCGAAGATGGGCAGCTCCTTGTTCAGCAGCTCCTTCAGCTCCGCTTTGCTGAGCTTGTACTTGTCCCCTTCCTTCCCCGAGTACTTGTGGAAGGTGGCAACGATCACGGCCAGCGCCTGCTCCAGGGGACACGCCATCGCCGGCTCCCTGCGTGCCCGGAGGGCAGAGCACCAGGGATGGGGTCAGGGCAAGCTCAGGGTGGCAACCGGGGTCTGATCCCCCCCCACCCTGCCCAGATCAGCCTGTCAGCTGCAGCCCCGGTGCTTCTCGGGGAGGTGTTTTGGGGTGCAGCGACCGCTGGGTGAGTTGCAGCTGGAGAGCGAAGCTGCACAATGGGCGATGCACGGGGAAGGGGAGCAGAGACTCACCGGGGTCGGCACGGATCGGGCAGCAGCGAGGAGTCAGGGTGCTGCAGCCGGAGCACGGTGGCATTTATAGCCTGGCCGGGGTGGCACTGCCCAGCACGCCCCCCCCAGCCCCCTCGCCTCCAGGCTTTCCCAGCAGCTCCACACAGGCAGTTTCGCCCCCGCCTCATTTTTGCCTAACGAGCTGTGTGATGCCATTAGTGGGAGATGGGTGGGTTTGGGTGCTGCCGGGAGGAGATACCCGTCCTACTGGGGACCAAGGCACAAGTCAAGGGATGGGCGCAGGGACTGGGAAAGGCTGGAGCATCCCTTGGGGCTCCCAGGAGAAAGCTGGTGACCAGTCCACGTCCCCCCCTGCTCCATCACTGCGCTGTCCCCACCACCACCAGCTCTCTGGGTGCCCGCGATCTCCCTGAGACAGATGGTCCCAAGCACTCCCATCCCAGTGACCCCACTGCAAACGAACAGGTCCCACAGCGGGGCTGGGGAGGTGACAGCAGTTTTATTCGAGCTATGGGCTGGGTCTAGATGCCGGCTGGCAGGGCCAGGAGCCTTAGCACACAAGTCATTGCAGAACACACAGAGGCAGCCCAGGAGGACCATGAACTCCTTGAGGTCCATCACGTTGTCCTTTTCCTCCAGGTCCTTCAGCAGCACCCAGAAGCTGCGCCCATCCAGTTGTTCCCGGCACAGAGCATCAGCGGGGCCAAGGACAGCACTCGTCAGCCATGGCACAGGTGGGCATCAAGCGCAACGGGTGGTTTCAGCAGAAGGGGGAACCTGTTTCAGGGAGGAGAAAGCCCCTCCCTAACCCCCACATCTTCCCCAGTGGTGGGGAGAGACATGAGGAGGCTGGTGGGACTCGGTCCTGGGTATCCCCATGCTCAGCTCCATGAAGCTGGGCAGCTCCTTCAGCTCGCCCTTGCTCAGCTGGTACTTGTCATGTGTGGAAGGTGGCAATGCTGGAGGCCAGGGCTTGTTCCAGGCTGGTGGCCATCCTGGAGGAGGGCTGCTCTTGGGGGAGCACCAGAATCAGGGTGGGCACCTGGCTTTTCCCTGCAAATCCCCAGTTATTTTTACATTGCCACCCATCCGCAAAAGCCTGTTTGGTTTGGAGGAGGGAGCCAGGAGAAATCGTTATCTGGCGAAACCCAAGGTGTCCTGGCCTTGAGCATCTCAAGATGGCCAACCCTTCAGTCTCTGGTGACTGCAGAAGCAGCCTGTCTTCCTCCTCCCAGAGACATGGTGGCTGGAGAGACCGTGGGGGAACACGTTTGGGTCATTTTCTGAAATCCTTCAAACCCCGCACGGTGCGGGACCTCGAGGCTGGTGTTGCTGCCAGGGCTGGGTTAGCAGCGGGCGCAGGGCGCCTAGAGCTGACCCCACCGGGGACGCGAGGACAGGAGCGCGGGTTTGAGCTCCCCAAATCGGGGGCCAGCTGCAGAGCCTGGCAGCCCCCATCCCTGTCCCACCGTCCCTCTCCCCGCTTGCCCTACGGTGCCGTGTGAATGGCCCCAGGGCTTTCCAGGAGGAGCACCCAGCGGTGCCGCTGCCGAGCCCACGGGCACACAAACCACCCCTGCCCACGCGGATGCCCATGCAACGTTCTCTCCGACACACCGGTCCCCTGTGCGCTGCAGCAGCCCCTCCTGTGCTCCCCGGGCTCCCCATGCACCCACTTTTGCTCCAAGCAGCTCCGGGGTGGGAAATAACGTGACCAGCACAGAGAGGGTGCGACTGCTCCGAGCCCCAGCCCGGATGCCGGGGTCCGTGCACGAGGAAGGGGAGCTGGGCTTGTTCAGCCTGGAGAAGAGAAGGCTGAGAGGGTACCTTAGAAATGCCAATCAATATCTGCAGGGGGGGGGTCAGGAGGACGGGGCCAGGCTCTTTCCAGTGGTGCCCAGCGACAGGACAAGGGGTGGAGCAGAGGAAGTTCCAGCTGAACCCGAGGAAGAACTTCTTCCCTCTGAGGGTGACGGAGCCCTGGCCCAGGCTGCCCAGGGAGGCTGTGGAGTCTCCTTCTCTGGAGATATTCAAGACCTCCCTGGACAAGGTCCTCTACAGCCTGCTGTAGGTGACCCTGCTTGGGCAGGAAGGTTGGACTGGGTGACCCACAGAGGGCCCTTCCAACCCCTACTATTCTGTGACGTGCTGAGCTGTTTCCGTGCACTGCAGTCGCTCTGCATCTAGAAAGGAGATGCTGGGGGCTGGTTACCCCTTACCATGAGGGATCCTTCCAGAGAGACCCCGAGACTCTACCCCGGATCCCGCCAGATGGCTGGGATCCCACGCGGGCGGCC